TTTTGGTTTAGTTTTAGTAGAGATTTTACTGCGCTCGCAACTGCATAAGCTCATATGGGCGCTAGAAGATTAGAGGTGTTACAAGGGAGTAACAAACATAAAAACAGAAGAAGAGGGAGATAAGGACGATAGATGTTTCACAGGAAAAAAGAAGCAAACCACACCAGAGCACCCGCCAACCACCCACTATCCCCCTCAGCCCGTGTTGACACTAACAGGCAGAGTCTAAGCCCCCCCCCCCCTTCCTGCTTGTTTGTTTGTTTGAGGAAAGACTCACACCGACACAATAAGGGTCACTTAGTATTGGGAAAAAGTAAAACAGACAGACCGAAACAACAGAGGGAAAGTAAAGAAGTAGGACCTACCAGAAGCGCCCTCCGACCACCCGCAAGGCAACGTGCTAATTGGTCTCTTTTAGGGACAAGCGGGCTAACCCAGATGTCGGGGGTTTTCAGAAATCTTTATCTACACCAAAAGTGGGCATTCCCCTACTTATTGGAGAAGTTTGGATTTTGTTTGGTTCCAAAGAAAACTCTCCTTGTCTTTTAGAAAACCTGAATAAGGGGCAAAAACTTTTCTTTTGATTGTTTCAAAACAGCATTTTTCGGGGATAGCCCGCGTGTGCTTAAAAAGCGACCAATTGATCTAAATTGTGTTGATGGAGGCGTCAAAGTTCCAAACTGGGCATTCTGGGAGGAGGGAGGGAGTTTAGTTATAGTTTTACGGCACTTGCAACACAATATGGTCATGTAAGTGTCAAAGAATAGATTACGTGTTACAAAAGAGTAACATTCACACAAAAAGATGGAAAGATAAGGGCGATAGATGTTTGATAGGAAAGAAGGAGCAAACCGCACCAGAGCACACACACACACACACACACACCTTCATCAAAAATAAAGACTTACCTTTGGCTTCTTTGGGTTCAAAGTCCAGGGTGCGGCACTTGGAGCGCACTCCTTCCCCCGTCCCGTCTATCCACACATACTCCACCTGAACCAGACCCTTGGGTTGTTCAAGCTCCAGGTGTCTTTTCAGAACTTCCTTGTTGGTGCCTGGCTGACTGTTGGCGAGCTGAAACGACACGTGCAGACAAAGACTAGGTGAGTATACAACTGTTGATTGTTGTTATGAGAGGGGAGGAGAGAGAGAGAGAGAAAGAGAGAGAGAGAGAGGGGGGAGAGAGAGAGAGA